CAAGCGCAGGCAGACAGAATGGCAGGCAGAGGCAGAGGGAGAAGCAGGCTCCCTGATGAGCAAGGAGCCCGATGTGGGACTCGATCCCAGGACGCTGGGATCATGACCTGAGCTGAAGGCAGCCGCTTAACCAACTGAGCCACCCAGGCATCCCGAGATTTCTGTTTTATGCTGGGATCCCTATAGTAGGCCTCTGAAAGGAAGCTTCCCTAAGTTAAGCTTTCTGGATTACTCTAGATTAGGATCAACCAGATATGAATTCACAGTGAAAAATCATCAAACATACAAGGAACTCCTACCATTGGTAAGAGTCACCTCAGTAAATGCAGGGAAAGTATTTGATAAAATTCAGCACCCATTCATAAATGTTCAGCAGATAAGTAAAATGGGCTTCCCTAGCATTTGGGCAACTGAACTACACATAGGACAGATAATGGCTCACGTCCCAGACCGACCAGTAATTCATGGTACACATAGAGACCAGATCTGAATAACACTGCAAAAAAAGGCTTAGAAAACTGAACTAATGTTGGAACCACAGTCCACTGAATGCTTGTCGGAATTTGTGACCTGGACACAACTAGTTTGATCCAACTAGGTTGAGCCTGCTGAAACAAGAATATCAGATATTCTCCAGAGGGTTTAAACAGGACCCATATCATATCGTAATATTGAAAATGTCCCCAATAACTTGGCATACAAGAGAACGTGGAAAAATCCCAATTGCTTGGGAAGACTGTCAGCAGATGCCATAGATGTTGGAATTATGTGACAAGAACTTCAAAGGAGCTATTATTAAAATGTTCTAAGAAGGGTGCCTGGGTGGCTCAGTGGGTTAAGCCGCTGCCTTCGGCTCAGGTCATGATCTCAGGGTCCTGGGATCGAGTCCCTGCTTCCCTCTCTCTCTCTGCCTGCCTCTCTGTCTACTTGTGATCTCTCTCTGTAAAATAAATAAAATCTTTAAAAAAAAAAAAATGTTCTAAGAAGCGTGAATTCTCCTGAAATGAATGGAAAGATAGGAACTCCTAACAAAAAAGTACAAGATATAAAGAGAACCAAATAGAAATTTTAGAGCCGAGAAATGCAGTAACAAAACCTCACTGGATGAATTCTGTAGGAGACTAAGGATAAGGAGATAGCCAGTTTCAAAGATAGTTCTTTGGAGATGATCCAGTCTAAACAAAAGAGATTAGACAAGCTCACTAATTTCAATAAAGATTACAGAAATTCACTAAGTCCCAGGAATTTGTGAGGCAATACCAAAAGTTCTAACATTTGTGGGTCATAGGAGAAGGAAAAGTGTGTTGCAGAAAAAAATCTTTAAAGAAACAATAGCCGGAACATTCCCATATTTGATGAAACCCACAGATTGAAAAAGCCCAGCAGGGATACCTGGGTGGCACAGTCGTTTAAGTGTCAAGACTCTCCATTTTGGTTCATGATCTCAGGGTCGTGGGATTGAGCCCTGTGTTAGGCCCAGCATGAAGTCTACTTGAGACTCCCTCTCCCTCACTCCCTGGTGCTCATTCATTCTCTCTCTCAAATAAATCTTTTTAAAAAAAGGCTCCACAAATGCTAAGCCATAGATAAACACAAAGAAACCCCTACCCATTCAGGTCATGATCAAACTGCTGATGTAAAGATGAAGCACACTTTTGTGAGCAGCCAGAGAAAAATGACACATTACTTAAAAGGGAACAGTGTGATTCATTAGAGATTTCTCATCAAAACCAAGGAGGCTAGAAGAAAGTGAAACACATTTCTAAAGTGTTAAAAGAAAAAAAAATGGGGGCGCCTGGGTGGTTCAGTGGTTAAAGCCTCTGCCTTCGGCTCAGGTCATGATCCCAGGGTCCTGGGATCGAGCCTCACATCGGGCTCTCTGCTCGGCAGGGAGCCTGCCTCTTCCTCCTCTCTCTCTCTGCCTGCCTCTCTGCCTACTTGTGCTCTGTCAAATAAATGAAAATCTTAAAAAAAAAAAAAAATTAAAAAATTAAAAAAAAAAAATGGATCCAGAATTCTCTGTCTAGTGAAAATATGTCAGAAATGGTAGGTGAGGTCATTATTCTTGGGTGAAAGAAAACCTAGAGCAGTCATTGACAGCAGACCTGCTCTAACGTAACTGCTAAGAAAGCTCTGAAGATAGAAATCTGGAAGGTTAGGAATGAAGAAACAGCAACAGCACGACCTGGGCAAGTATAATGAACTGTTCTCCTATTGAATTCTTTAAACTGTGTTTGGTTGACAAGAAAAGATGGCATTGTCTTGTAGCTTTCAGTGTATGCAGATGTAACATACAAGACAACTACGGGGGCACTGGGGTGGCTCAGGCGGTTAAGCATCTGCCTTCAGCTCAGGTCATGATCCCAGGGTCCTGGGATGAACCCCTCACTGGGCTCCCTGCTCCGAGGGGAGCATGCTTCTCGCTCTGCCTGCCGCCCCTCCCCCGGCTTGTGCTCATACCCTCTGGCAAATAAATAAAAAATCTTAACAAGATTTTTCTAAGTAGACAAGGTATCTATATTATAACTGCTTAGACCAATTACTAAATATTAGGAGATTTAGTCAAATATGATTAATTAAAATGGAGTTCTGAAAAATCTTCAGATAACCCAAAAGAATACAGAAGACTTTTATTTTTAAGTAAGCTCTGTGCCCAACCTGGGGCTTGAACTCACGACCCTGAAAGTCAAGAGTGCTGGGCACCCCCAGAAGACTTTTTAAAAAACAGAAAGCAAGTAATAGGTAGATCAAGTGATAACCAATATTTACATTAAGACATGAATTTAATTCAAAGAGATTATAAAATTATAGACCCATATTCCTCATGAATATAAACACAGAGATCCCTAGCAAAATACGAGCTAAGCAGACCAAATTCAACAATATATAAAAGGCATTATACATGACTATCAAGTAGTATTTTATGCCAGGAATGCAAGATTGGCTCAATATCTGAAAATCAATTAGTGTTATACATATTTATAGAAAAAGAACGAAGAATATATGGTCATCTCAATAGACACCGAAAAAACATTTGACAAATTGAGTACCCTTTAATGATAAAAATGCTCATCAAACAAATAGAAGGGAGCTCTTCAGCCTAATAAAGCCCCTCTGTAAAAGCCTGTAACCAACAGCATATGTTATGGTGGAAGAATGAATGTTTCTTCCTAGGGTCATAAACCCAACAATGCTGTGGACATCTGCTCTCATGACTTCTGTTTAACACTGTATTCAGGCAGTTAGGCAAGAGAATGAAATAAAAGGCATCCAGATTGGAAAGGATGGGATGACATGATTTCATATATAGAAGAAAATGTTAAAGAATCCACTGTAGTAGAGGTAGTTAACGAGTTCATCAAGGTTGCAGGATATATTACCATCTGTCGATTCTTGGTATATGGTACATAGGTGTTTTAATTTCTGTACTTTTCTTTATGCTCAGAATGTTTCATAACTTAAAAGTGAAAAGAAACTGGCACAGTATTCCACAGTCTCTGGTAAGGCTGGCTGCAGAACGCCATGTGGGCATCTGTGAAAGGGATTCTGGAGCTCTGTCCTGACCCACGCCCTCAGCCCTTAGGGACACCAGATGGGAATGTGGATTCAGTAAACCTCTCCAGAGGATTCTGATACGTAAGCAGGTTTAGGAGCCAGCATGCTCATTTTACAGATGCCTAACACGGAGTCCTGTAGGACTGCCACTTCTCTTATTCTCCGTGTGGGACATCTGTTGATATACTCTATGGTTGTATTAGCTCTTATTAGGAAGATTGGTAAGGAGACCACATTGGAGAACCAATTTTCAGCATGTTATAGAAGAGCTGAAGAAACTAAAATTATTTGGTCTCAAATAAAGAACTGTAGCAGTTGTCAAATATTGCAGAGTTAGGGCATGAATATACAGTTAGGGTTAAGCTTAAGTTTCTTAGCTTCATTCACTGGTGGAACCAGCTTTGGATCTAAGTAAGAAAGGGCTTACTAATTGAATGGTTTGCTGTTTGGAAGTTGTGGGTGCCTTATTCCTGGAAATAGAGGCTGTTAGGAATGTTAGGGAATTCCTGCATAGGCTGGAAAGTTGGCATACATAAATGAAAGATCCTTTTTAGTGCTAAAGGCTTTTTTTCCCCTTTGTGACTATTTTTTGTTGCTTCCCCACAAGTATTTCAGTTTTCTGATTTTTCTACAACGAACATAGAATTCTTACGGAAAGATTCTTTCTCTTCTCTTTTTTCCTTTTTTCCTTAGAAACAAATAATTCTTATTTGTCCCTGCACTCCCAGTTGTGTTTTGAAGATCTTTCGTTTCAGATTCAGAAAGAATCCTTCTCTATCCTCGTATTCCTGCTTAAGTCCCATTTTACCAAGTCTGAGGATATCGGTGGAATTATATTTACTTCTTGTTGATACGAACAATTTTATTGGGGCATGTGGCAGGCTCAGTCAGTGGAGCATGCAACTCTTGATCTCGGGGTTGTGAATTCAAGCCACACATTGGATATAGAGATTACTTTTAAAAAGATCATTCATAAATAATTTCACTTATCACTAATACTGTGTGCTTTTTTATAGTAGCATTTTAAATTTTCTTGTTGTTTCTTAGAACTGTGGGCTTCTCACTATAGAGTTGAAGGTTGAAAAAAATTTTTTTTAATTTGGTCTTTTTAAATGAAGGTCACTATTTAGAAAATGAATACTATTCTTGTTAATTAATGAAATACCTTACAATGGAGTCTTCTGTTTTGTAGGGAAAGAGACCTTTCCTACCTCTGTAAGGGGTATTTATTCAGTGACTCTTTTCAGGTAGCCATGAGATAAGGTGTAACGAGCCTGCAGTACACATCATACAGTAGTCTGTGCTAAACTAAAATGGTTCCTTGACACAACAGTTTAGATGTCCAGTAGATGACTAAACTTCTAACCTGAGACTGAAAAAGGTGTAGCAGTTTGTTTTTGTAAAGCTGTCCTCATTACCAATTAATAGAGTTTTATTTTTCACAGAAAAATTTTGAAAGATCTATCTTCTGAAGATACACGGGGCAGAAAAGGAGACGGAGAAAACCCTGGAGTTTCTGCTGTCACTTCTATGTCTGTTCCAACTCCCATCTATCAAACTAGCAGTGGACAGTACAGTACGTATAGGAATGAATTTTTAATGATGGACACACAAAAACTAACTTCGATAAAGAAGTGGTATATAGAAAGACGGTCATGCTTTAATAGTGAGGATAACTGAAGAATAGCATTTTGAGCCAAAAATAATGCAAAGTACTTTTTCTGCATGATCACATTTGCTTCTTACAACAACTTGTGAGATAGGCAGTTACTCAATTATGAGGAAACTGATAAAGCCTTAGAGAGATTAGATAATGTCCCTAAAGTCACATAGCTTATAAGTGATATGCTTACTTTGGATTTTTGACAAATTCATGGAATTGTCTAACCACTACCACAGCCAAGATACAATTTTATCACGCCCACCGAAGTCTTTGTGCTATCCGTTTGTAGATGATTTCTCCTTCCATTCCTAACTCCTGTTCTTCAAGTCTAGTTGACTCTTGCCTCAAAATCTGTGTCCCATCTGACCACCTCTCACCATCTCCAGTCACTGCCACCCCCTTGCTTTATACCCGGTCTCAGTACTGTGGTGGTCATTTGCTTCCATTCTTGCTCTCACTGTTTCCCATACTGCAGCCAAAGCCATTTATTTAAAATGTCAATTAGATCACAGCACCTTTGCTCCAGATCCTCCAGTGATGCTCCATCACACCTAGGATAAGTTCTGTAGGGGTAGGTTATATCCAGGGCCTGGCCTTGCTTACCCAGCTCCGCTCTCATCTGCCACTGGATGGCATCTGGCGCCACAGATTTTCTTGCCATTTCTCCAGCACCTGCAGCTTGTTTCTGCCTCAGGCCATTCAGGCTCGTCCTCCCCCTGCCTGGCACATTCTTCTCCCAGAGCCTCACAGGACTTGCATCCTTGCCCCTGCTCCACTTAAGTGTCACTTCCTCAGAGACCACTCTTTTTAAAATTCGCTCTTTGGTTAGCTTTCTTAGCATTTTAAAAATAATCATAAAAAAGTATATATTAGTTTTTTAATCCTAGATTATATAGAATTATCAGCTCATTTATGATCTGTTCTCAAGGATAAATTCTTGAGGGACAAGAATTTTGTCTTGTTCACAACTGTGATCACCAGGCATAGAGCGCCTGGTGCACAGTAGGCTTTCAGTGATGTTTGTTATGAATAAATACTTAAAGAATATATAAAAAAGGACCACAATGAGGACACATAAGAAACTGAGAACAGTGGTTGCAAGGAAGGATACCTGGGAGCAAGATCAGAGGCGGTTGAGAAGTTCACTTTCAAACAAAAGAAGTTCACTTTTAAATAAAACTTTTTTTTTTTTTGCTGTATACATGCATTATGGTTTTCAAAAAAATTTTTCTTAAAGCAGCATATTAGCAAAATTATATGTTAATATGGCTTATTCTAAAACAAAATTAGAAATTATGAAAACTATATAGAAACTTAGGCTAATATTGTATATATGATTGAAATAAGTACAGTACCAACTAGTATTTAAGACAGCATGATCCAATAGAACTTCCTTGATGATGAACGTGTTCTGTATCTGCATTGGCCAGTACAGTAGCCGCTAAGCCAGTGTAACTACTGAGCACTTGAAATGTGGCTGGTGAGACTGAGGAACTGAATTTTTTTATCTTGTTTTTTTTAGTTAATTTAAGTCACCACTGTGGCTGATGGCTACTGTATCAATGCAGATTTAGAGTAAACTCAACCAGGTAAATACATAGGTTAACAAAAACAGGAAGGGAACGCCTGGGGGGCTCAGTCAGTTAAGCATCTGCCTTCCGCTCAGGTCATGATCTTGGGGTCCTGGGATCGGGCCACGTTGGGCTTTGTGCTCGTGAGGAGTCTGCTTCTCTCTGTCCCTTTGCCCCTCCCCCCACTCATGCATGCTCTCTATCTCTGAAATAAATCTTTTAAAAAAATAGGAAGAGGGCGCCTGGGTGGCTCAGTGGGTTAAGCCGCTGCCTTCGGCTCAGGTCATGATCTCAGGGTCCTGGGATCGAGTCCCGCATCGGGTTCTCTGCTTGGCAGAGATCCTGCTTCCCTCTCTCTCTCTCTCTGCCTGCCTCTCCATCTACTTGTGATCTCTCTCTGTCAAATAAATAAATAAAATCTTAAAAAAAAAAAATAGGAAGATACGTTACCAAAAAATGTTACAGTTCTGTATCATCGCATATACTTAACATCACAAGATATAGGTCTATACGTATGTGTGTATGGATACACATATTTTGGTATGTATTAATATATCAGTCTATGTGAACCTAGGAAAAGATTAGGAAGGATGTACACCAAAAATAATGGTTACCTCCGGAAGAGGGTATGGGGTGGCCAGTGGAATAAACATAGAGATTGGGGGTTTTACTTTTTATTTATAATGTGTGTTACAGAAATGGAGATTGCAAATAATTGCTAATATAAATTTAAACCTCTGTATCTAAACACTGCCATTACTTGTAGTCATATAAATTAAAGTATATGGGAGCATTGGTTGTGTGCCTGTGGGTGAGGGATACTTAGAAACTCCTGAAAGAAATTATTTTCACTTAAAACGCACAAATCCAGACAAGTGTGCTTTGGCTTTGTGATAGCCAAAGTGTAAAAGAAAAAATCCAATAATAGTCTGATAAGAGGGTACAGAGATGAGGCATTAAATTCTAAAAGGGATTTATTTTTAAGATTTTATTTATTTATTTGTCAGAAAGCGAGCAAAGCAGGGGGAACAGCAGGCAGAGGGAGAAGCAAGCTCCCCGCTGAGCAGAGAGACTGATGCAGGACTCTATCCCAAGACCCTGGGATCATGACCTGAGCTGAAAGCAGACACTTAACCAACTGAGCCACCCAGGCGCCCTCTAAAGGGGATTTATTGTGTGGAATTGTATAATGCTAAAATGTTTTTTCTATTCAGTCAAACCTTTTGGTATTTAAGGTTTGAGAGGAAAGCATTAACATAAGTAAAATTTATTGAAAAATGCCTGGGGGGCACACAGAAATGTGGTCTGTATATGGGCTTTCTCATGACTACCTTCCTGGTTCACTAGGAAGTGACTTGAATAGATTACATTACATTTTTAAAATATCACTTATGTAAATAACAATACTTTTTAAACAGTGGTTACCACAGGACATCAGAGCTCAGAAACAGTATGAAGATTTTTGTTTTCATTGTGTAACCTTTAATCCTATTTAAAATTTTTCCATGGGCACAGTTTAATCTATTCAGAAATATTTTTGAGCTTATTTGAATAAAAATCACAAGCTATGTTAATGTTTCCTTCTACTTATTTTTCCTTTAAAAGTTAGCCATTGGTACCCTCTCCTAATGCGCCAGAACTGCTGTGACCACAGTGGGAATTAGTGTGCAATGCTTCATGGAGACCAAGATGTGTTTTGACTAATCAGTTATATTGTATAGTTTGAGACTAAATTTAAGATTAGTGCATCTGAACTATAACATTTTATGGAGAAATGCCATTTTATTTCCTTTACATATAGTTCACTCAGAGTAGTCGACAGGTAGCAAGTGGAACTGCATGCAAACCTGTTTTAATAAATAGTGGTGTTTGGGTTTTTTTTTCACCAATCCTTTGCAATTAGTGTGTTGTCTAGCCTTACAATAGCTATGTTTTCTCTTTGGTTAAAGTTGCCATTGCCCCAAATGGAGCCTTACAACTGGCCAGTCCAGGCACAGATGGAGTACAGGGACTTCAGACGTTAACCATGACAAATTCAGGCAGTACTCAGCAAGGTACAACAATTCTCCAGTATGCACAGACCTCTGATGGACAGCAGATACTTGTGCCCAGCAACCAGGTAGTTGTACAAAGTAAGTACGCTTAAGTGTCTGTGGAGAACTTCCCAACGTCCTTTCAAAGACACTTAGGCATTAACTCATTCTTCTGACCGCACAGCTGCGACGGGAGATATGCAGACATACCAGATCCGAACCACGCCTTCAGCCACTTCGCTGCCGCAGACTGTGGTGATGACGTCTCCTGTGACTCTTACGTCTCAGACAACCAAGACGGATGACCCCCAGCTGAAAAGAGAAATAAGGTTGATGAAAAACAGGTAGGTGGTAAAATTGTACTGCCAGAATGGGTAATGTTTTTGTAAATCTCAAAACATAACCATGGGTTAACTGCAAGTGTGTATTAAAAATGAGAGGTGGGAAAAAAAAATGAGAGAGGTGTGGGGTGCATGGCTGGCTCAGTCGGTGGATCACATGACTCTTAATCTTGGGGTTGTGAGTTTGAGCCCCACGTTGGGCATAGAGCTTACTTAAAAGAGAGAGGTTTATATCAGCTTTTTTCTTTTTCTTTTTTTACTGAGTTTTATGTCTAGTTTATTTCCAGTGGATTGGTATGTCCCATTGCTCAGTCTCCTTATGTAACATATTGTCTTTTTTAATAGTACTGTTAAGCAAACTTTTCAAACAATAACTTTGTTCTTGTTGGGCTGACAAAACTTAAATGAAAGTAATAATTCACTGCTTGCCATTGACAGCAAGAAGAGGGAAGAATTCCTACAAAAACTGACGAACACAGAAATGCTCCTAAAAAATGAAATTCACCCATGAATATATAGAAGTTATTTAACCTCCAGAAATACTTTCTTTTTAAACATATTTTATTTTTAAGGTTTTTTATTTATTTATTAGAGAGAGAGATAGCAAGAGAGCATGAGCAGGGAGGAGAGGGAGAAGCAGGCTCCCTGCTGAGCAGGGAGGTAGACATGGGGTGCACACCGGGGTGCATGTGGGATGCGGGGCTTGATCCAGGACTCTGGGATCGTGACCTGAGCTGAAGGCAGATGCTTAATGACTGAGCCCTGCAGGCACTGTCACTTTAAATGTATTTTAAACATAGCTTTATGAGCTATATGTACATCACCCATGAAAAACCACCAGTTCTTTGAGGAAAGGGGTATAATGTGGTAGCCTTCTGCAGTGAGTACAAGGGGGGAAAAAAAAGAAAAAGGATACCAGTAAACTATATTAGGAACCAAAAAGGGTAAATACCCAGGAATAAAATAATTTTTAAAAAATTACAGTAAGGGGGTGCCTGGGTGGTTCAGTGGGTTAAAGCCTCTGCCTTCGGCTCAGGTCATGGTCCCGGGGTCCTGGGATCGAGCCCCGCATGAGGCTCTCTGCTCAGCAAGGAGCCTGCTTCCTCCTCTCTCTCTGCCTGCCTCTCTGCCTACTTGTGATCTCTGTCAAATAAATAAAAATCTTTATAAATAAAATCTTTATAAATAAATAAAATCTTTAAAAAAGAAAAAAGAAAAGAAAAATTACAGTAGGATTCTGTTTTCAGCTCCTCACCAGTAAGTTAAGACAGCTAAAATAAAAGGATGATTTTCTAAAGCAATAAAAATTATTATAAAAGGATGGGAGAGACGCATTTAATTACTTCAGGATAAAAGTTTCTTTACTAAAAACTAAGAGCAGGCATCATTGTAAATGAACTTGTTAACATAGTAGGGACTGTCTGTTGTTTTTGGAGGTTCCAACAAATGCCCTAAGACAAGGAACTGAAGTAAGTTATGTAAATACTAGAGGAAATTGTGGTTTTTTTGTTGATATGATTGTGTACCTAGGAAACCCAAAAGTCTTTTTAAAAATTACTAGAATGAGACTTCTCTTTCTGACAATATGACCTAGGCTATGTAATATTTTTAAAAGCTTGGTGAAACATAAAAATCACCCTTTTCAATAATTGAATGAGCCTACAGGAAAGTAAAACATCTGTTGAGGTTAGGAGTGAACCAGAAGCACAAGACCGTGAGGTTAATAAGCACTGAAGCAGCCCCTGTAAATTCTGTGATAAATTCAAATCTTTGTGATTGCTACAGCTTTGGTACTCAGAGGGGACCAGGGATAAAGCCTGTGGTCTGTGTAGGCTGGGACACTGGATCACAGATTCTTCTTCATGAAGTCAGTCAGCACCCAAGAAGTGCTCTACCGAACACAGGGGTTCTAAAATTGACCCTTGAACAACATAGGGATTGGGGCACTGACCCCTCACAGCTGAAAATTCATGTATAACTTTTGACTCCCCCAAAGCTTAGTCTCCTGTTGACCGGAATCCTTACTGAAATAGTCAACACGTATTTTATATGTTGTATGTATTATATGCTGTATTCTTACAATAAGCTGCAGAAAAAGTGTTATTACGAAAACATAAGAGAAAATACATTTATGGTACTATATTTATTGGAAAATTTTGCATATAAATAGCCTCACATAGTTGAAATCTGTGTTGTCCAAGAGTCAGCTGTCATTTAAAGATGGGTCCATAGTGCTCCCAACTTTTTAGAAAAAGGCAGTCTCAACACAGGCTTTAACAAATTCCCGTACATTGAGTTCCAACAAATACAAGTTGAAAAACCACAGACTACCCAAGGAATTAGGCCTCCATCATTATATGTGCCAACACCTTTATGTAATTTTCACAGAAATCTTTGAGGTTTATGTATTATTTCCAATGTTTTTTGAGACAAGGAAGCGGAGGCTTAGGTTACTTTATTTGCCCACGGTTAGACTACTTAATAAGTGGTAGAGGTAAGAGTTCATGAACACATGACTCCAAGTTTCAGAGTCCAAAGACTTAGATACCACACACTACCTACCTTTCAGGAGCTAGAGTCAGCAGAAAGAGCACAGAAGAATGAGTTATGTAAAGTATTCAGTTATCTATTATATTTGAAGCGGAAAAAAGGGATGTCATTGAAAATCATCAAAAATTAAGAGGCTATAAAAATGATAAAAATTGGGAAAGATAAAACTTATTAGTAGCAAATATATATTCATCTGCTTAGAATACTGAGGACAGTCATCCTCAAGAAGAAAAAGAAATGATTCTTTTCAACATTGTCTTGGAAATCTTTGACAGTTTAGTAAAACCGTAAAAGGATTGGTGGGGGGGGAGCTACAAAGATTTAAATGAAAGAAATGAAACCTCTTTTTTATATAATTGCCTATTTTTTAAAATGGACTTACAAAAATATCATTAGAAGTAATGAATTTGTAAGATTGCTAATGTAAAGCCCATTTTCAAAAACCATATTTCTTTACATTAGCAGTGGCTTGATAAATAAGTATTAAAAAGATATCATTTATGTTATCAACAAATAAAATTCCCAAGAATAAATCTAACAGAAGATGTCCAGGATGTTTATGAAAAATACTGTATAGTGTTTCTAAAACACATTAAGGAAGATTTAAATAAATGTAGAAGTAAATACTGTGTCCATAGATGTGGAAACTCAGTATCATGAAGATGACTGTTTTTCCCCCAGTTGATCCATAGATGCATTGCAGTTGCACTCAAACCCCAGATAAGTTGTTTGAAGAACTTCACAAGAGATAACTAAAATTTGTAGAAGAGTAGAGGGCCAAGAACAGCCAAAATATTTCCAGGCAAGAATAAGGTGAGGAGATACCAAGTTTTATTTAAAGCTGTGGTAATTGAAACAATGTGATACTGGCATTGAGAAAAACAAAATGACCAAAGAAATAGCTCAAAAATAGGTACATGGACACACGAAACCCTGATATGATAGGACAGATGATTGGGGGAAGGAGGGACTCCTCAGTAAATGGTACTAGGATAATTATTGATACGTGAAAAAATACTGGATTACTTTCTCACACCATACACAAAAATCCCTGTGTATGGATTAACAACGCAAATATGAAAGGTGACATTTTGAAAATTTTCAGTGAGAATATATAATCTTAATGGTTTCAGGAATAGGGAAGGATGCCTTAAAACACCTCACACCCCCTCCCATACCCAAACATCATTAACATAAAAGATTAGTGAATCTTCATTAATAATTTCTGTTCATTAGAAGATGGGGTGAAAATATAAGCTTCAACCCTATAGAGGATATATGTAGCAGATCTAACCCCCAAAAAGATTTTCTTTGAAAAAATAAAAATATCTTCTAAATTAATAAGTACAACCCAATAGAAGATGAATAGGCCTTTCTCAGAAAACACAAGTGGTGGGGCGCCTGGGTGGCTCAGTGGGTTGGGCCGCTGCCTTCGGCTCAAGTCATGATCCCAGGTCCTGGGTTCAAGCCCCACATCAGGCTTTCTGCTCAGCGGGGAGCCTGCTTCCTCCTCTCTCTCTGCCTGCCTCTCTGCCTACTTGT